GCAATTAATTTGGATGAATCCCGAACTAACACGTGGTGGTGCCGCACTCGACGATGCTAGATATCTCTTTCTGAGTCACAACATGTTGCACTGACAGCTATTCATATTCGGATTACTCCGATTTTCTCCATATGTTGGTATTGATTATCTTTACTTAAACATTTTTTTATCAAAATTTCATATTTTGACATTTTTTGTAATCTCGTGTCCAATTCACAGTAATACCTGCTATTCCTGGGTGATTGGCTTTGATAAGTTTGGGTTTTATTAGATTTAAGGAATATGTGGGAATATTCTAGCCTGGACTATAGCTCAGGCTTACTATGGATCACGATGGACTATAGTGCATTGAACTATTATGATCCTTAGGGATTAAATAGGTTGTTCTAAGGCTATTTTCTATGGTTTATGGGTCATTTTCTATACCTCAAGATCCGGGTATTCAAAGAAAAAGTCAATTTCAAAGGGCCTTCTACAACCTACAAGGCTTATAAGTGATAGGTACCTTGACAAGTGATTGTTATTGTAAATATAATTATTAGCCCTGCTAATCAATTATTAGGGGCTTGAAATATGGTTCTTAACCCTTGTATGCTTGTCCAAACCTTGGAACTTGTATCCACCCTATGGGGTAGACTTAAAATAAAAACAATCATTATCCATCCAGTTAATATGTATACAATCGTTATCCATCCAGTTAACTGCTTGCTGAGGGCTTAAATATGGTTCGTATTCCCTATATGCTGGTGTAGAGTTTGGAACCTATATATATCCCACACTAGAGTAATATTCATACAAAATAATATGGATTTGTATGAAGTTATCTTCCCTTATGCATATAATTGTTGTTGGTCTAACAATTCACTTGTCGAAGGATTGAAGTATGGCTCTTACCCCTTATATGCTGGCGTAGATCTTAGAATCTATATCATCATGCATTGAGGCAGTCTTGGAGCAAGATACAAGCTACTGGACATCACACAAATGCTGAGAATTTAGCTGAGGAGAACCAATGCAATGGAGTTCCCCACAATGGATTGGTTGAGGTTGACACACCCATTGTTTTTAAGATGGTCGAGCTCGGGTATAACCTAAGGGAGCAGAAGCCTTGGATGCATAGCTCTGCCCTCGAAAAAAAGGATTGGATGTCCCCACCATAGTATTGAACGATCTGTGATTCGTAACCCAATTGTCGTAGGTCACGACTCGAGCAACTTGACCGCATGGCCTCATTACCAGGGTCGCCATAGATGCAGCTATAATATGTGCAATTCAGCCACTGGTGACATTTTTTATACCCAATGAGCAGTGATGGTGGCAGTATAATTATTAACAAAGGGATACTGATTAGCAACCGTAATTTCCACATGTATGCTCCCTACCTTAAAAAATCTATTAGCTGGGAATGGGGTTGGGGTCGTGGTGGTAGAGCATCACTTGTGCCCTAACTAAGGTTTAGACTTCCATTCTCATCAAACGCATTAAAAAACACTAAAAATTTCAGAAAACGGGTAGGGGCTCGTCATCTCCACTGAAATACTTAAAAAAATAAAAAAAAATTGAAAGAAAAGCTACTAGCTAAAGAGTCGCCCCTTTCTTTAGAGATGATGTTGAAGTGGAAGGATAACATCACATGGTATATATAATACATAACTGTTCTTTTGAGAAGTGATGTCACTTGAATTTTTTGGTCAAGAGCGTATTTGTTAGGTATAGGCTAAAAAGGGGAGCATTCCTCATCTGATGATAAAACCCTTTAAACCTCTAAATTGCTAGAACATATAGAAATTGACAAGGTTCACCAGAGCGAACCTAGGGTAAAAGGGAAGGTTTTGCCTGTTTATAAGCTAAAATGTTTTAACGCCACTAGGACTACGATTACTCGAAGTGATAATGTTGACAATGCTCAACACGTTGTATCTATAATACACAGGTGGGTCTGACTGACCTTGAGTAAATATTGAAGTCTCAAAAATAGCCTAATGCTAAGTTTAGGTAGTGTCCAAAAACCACCCAAGGAACCTAGACAATAAGGAAAGGAAAATTGTTTCATGTAGTAGGGACTGCATTTTTATATTTGTTGTCCCTGAGGTATAAAATATCCATCGTAAAGATGGATACAAATTGGTGGTCCATCTAAAAATAATTGAAACTAGCGGCCCAAATATTTTTTAATAGAATTATTTTTAAATTTTTTAAAATTTTAACTTTTAATTTTTTACTAATTTATTTACTAATTAGTACTTACTTACCTAACGTTAAAAGTATTAACTATTACGTTACCTTA